TGACCTGAGCTGAAGTTGGACACTTAACCAACTGAGCCACGCAGACACCTCCAGACTATCTGGTTTTGAATTTTGACTCTACCCCCCTATATGTCCTCAGCGTCTTGTTTTAGTTTACTCCTCTGTAAAATGGGTAGTGGTAGGGTCTAGAATTGTGTTGAAGATTGCATGATATAATCTACCACTGTGTGCATTGGTTAGGACCTAGTTAATGCTAGTTACTGTTATTTATAGTTATTTTGTTTACTGATGGATTGACCAGCACACTTCTTGAATAACTTCAATCCCTTGTGTCAAACGCTGCCATCTTTCGTGAAAGAGTGCAGCTTGTTTGCTCTTTGGGCCCCTGAGTGAGCCCAAGGGGGTGGCTGAACTCATGGCAGTACTTGGGGATGGGTGGCAAGAGGATTCTCTTTCATCCCTGAAATCATATCATTCTCCAATACTCATCAAAATTCCATCTCCGAGAGGCACCTGGGCGGCTGGGTCAGTTGAGTCTGACTCTTGATTTCGGCTCAGGTCATGATCTCATGGTCCATGGGTTCGAGACCCATGTCAGGCTCTGTGCTGACAGTGCAGAGCCTGCTTGGGATTCTCTCTCTCCCCTCTTTCTCTGCTCCTCTCCCAATTGCACACATGTTCTCTCTCAAAATAAATAAAATGAAACTCCATCTCTGATCAGTTTCAGTGGGAGCTGGGACTAGATGGGCATCTTTTGGCTTCTCCTCTACAGTAGAGGCTCCCAAAGGGGCAATTTTGCCTCCTTGGGAAAGGCTGGCAATTACGGAGACATTTTTGGTTGTCACACCTGGGGAAGTGCTACTGGCATGCAGTGGCTAGTTTCTAGGGATGTCACTAAACATCCCACAGTGCACAGGACAGCCCCCTCACAGAAAGGAATTATCCAGTCCAAAAGATCAACAGTGGAAAAATCTTGCTATAAAGTCTCCCCGGGGCAATTTTATTGAACTCAGAAACCAAGGATGCCAGTGAGTTAGAGTTAAGGAACTGAAGCTCAGAGAGGGTAAGTGACTTGCTCAAGGTTGCATAGGTAACTGGTCAGAATAGGGGTTTTTCTCATAGAGATACTCTAAAATCCGAACTTCCTAGCCCAGTGGTAGGCATTTAATAACTCTCTGTGGAGTAAATAACAATTTATTCTGATTATGTCTTTTTTTAGTGAGACTAGTAAACTTCGGGAGTAGAGGACCTGGGATGGCTCTCTCACCACACGAGGCAGGCTTCTAGGGAGGTGGACTCCCTTCATTACTCATTGCTTGAATGGCTGCTTCTTGCACTAACAGAACTCATGTGCTTATTTGGTGTCCATAGTTGTGCATTGCATACAGAGGCCACACGACTAACATCCTGAAGGTGACCGTGGTTTTCACAACTGACTTTCAAAACTTTGTTAAGAAGAACGCCACCTGTGACTGGAGTCTCATAGGGACCAGTCCCAACAGGTAGTGAACCTGTGGGGAGGTGTGGTGGGAATTCTTCCAGCTGGGATCATTAGCTCTCTTGGGGACAGTGGTCCACGTGAGGTACTAACGATCTCTTAATTTGGGCCTTGGATGTTAAAAATTTTTTTTTCAATGTTTGTTTATTGTTGAAAGTGAGGGAGCATTTGTGGTGGAGGGGCAGAGAATGAGGGAGACACAGGATCCAAAGCAGGCTCCAGGCTCTGTGCTGTCAGCAGCGAGTCTGGTGTGGGGCTTGAACTCACCAACAGTGAGATCAGGACTTGAGTCGTAGTCGGAGGCTTAACTGAATGAGCCACCCAGGTGCCCCTTGGGCCTCAGATACTAAATATGGCTTCCAAATTCATTTTATTTGACTAAGAGGTTTAAGAGTGGTTAATTGTTAGGAATAGAATACGTTTTAGAAGTGCTCTGACACTTTTCATAGGGATAGAATCATAGAACATATCTGGAAGAGAGATTTTTTATTTGATAAGATTTTATTTTACTTTATTATTTTATTTTATATGTTTGTTTATTTTGAGAGAGAGAGAGCAAGTGGGCAGGGGAGTGGCAGAGAGAGAGAGGGCGAGAGGGAGAGAGAGAATCCCAAGCAGTCAGTGCAGAGCCTGACATGGGGCTCACAAACTGTGAGATCATGACCTAAGCCAAAGCCAAGAGTCGGACGCTTAACTGACTGAGCCACCCAGGTGCTCCTAGAAGAGATTTCAGAGACCATTGCTTGAAATTACAGATGAGAAAAATTGGGACCCAGAGAATTTGGGAGTCACTAAGATTCGTACAGCGAGTAAGCAAAGACTCTGGAATAAAACTCATGCATCTTTGATCCCTTGATTCAGTGTTCTTTCCATATAACTCTTACGGGTTTTGTAAGTGGTTTTAAACCTGAGTGTGTCCAGGAATGTTAGTCTTCTCTGAGGTTATAGCCTAACATATACCTGCCTAAGATACCTAATTATACTGTAATTTGAAAATGCTGACATTGAGTGTCATGAGCAAACGATTGCCTTGAAGTGTGCCTCACTTGTGTGATATCACAGGCTGAGCCGAGCCTGTCTTGGACAGGAGGCTTGTACCTGGGGCACACAGGACTGTTTGGGTGCAGGGCTTCTTAGGGTGTCTCTCCTGGCTGCACAGTCCCCAGGCCCCCAGGTCTGTGAACTTGGGTTCTTCAGGAAAGGGTCTCAGGTGCACACAGAGAGGTCCATTTCGCCTGTGGTCTTGTTTTTCAGCTGGCAGTTCACTTGCATTGACCTCTGGGAGTCTTGTGTGCACGAGTATTCGCAGCTGCCTCTGGCAAACTCCTCTGTGTTGGTTCATCAGATTGACCTCCTCCCTCTGTCTCAGGAGACGAGTGGGTTCTATGTGGATGAAATTATTATTGCGGACACAAATGTAACAGGTGAGCATTCAATCTGCTTTTGTCAATGGGCCTGTCAAATGCCAACCTCAAACTTTTCTGCTGGGGGCTGCTCTTCTCTTAATGCAGAGAGAACACGTGATTTCCCATCTTGTCTGCCTTGGTTCTAGAAAGAAGATGGGTTTGGGATTGTGCATCTTTGTTGCCTATATCTCTTTAGCTAATTCCTTTTTTTTTTTTTTTACTATTTATCCAATGCTTGCTCTTGCTTCTGTGCTCTTACCCCAATTTTACCACTTTTATGCTAAGAAGACTTGGTTTCCTCATCTGTACACACATCTGGGCACAATGAGGGCCCTATCTTATGGAATTACTGTGAAAGCTAACTGAAGTATAATGTAATGAAGTCATTACTGGTCCTAGATCATGGTAAGTGCTCAATAATATAAGCAGTTATTATTACTATTATTAGTCCAGCAGGATTTCTCCACCTCCCCATGAATTAATATCTGTCATGCAAAGTGCTGGAAGGAACAAGGTAATATCTTGCCCTATAAATGGGCTAAAGGTCTCATTTATGCC